TTTTTTTTGATTTTTTAGGGATTTTTGGGGGATTTTTTAGGGATTTTTTGGGATTTTTTAGGGATTTTTTTGGGATTTTTGGGGGATTTTTTTGGGTTTTTTTGGGATTTTTTAGGGATTTTTGGGGGATTTTTTAGGGATTTTTTGGGATTTTTTAGGGATTTTTTGTGGATTTTTGGGGGATTTTTTGGGGATTTTTTGGGGATTTTTTTGGGATTTTTTAGGGATTTTTTAGGGATTTTTTTTTGATTTTTTAGGGATTTTTTGGGATTTTTTAGGGATTTTTTAGGGATTTTTTGGGGATTTTTATGGGATTTTTTGGGGATTTTTTGGGGATTTTTTGGGGATTTTATGGGATTTTTTTGGGATTTTTATGGGATTTTTTTGGGATTTTTGGGGGGTTTTGGGGGTATTTATTAGGGATTTTTTAGGGGTTTCTTAGGGATTTTTTGGGGGTGTTTTGGGGATTTTTGGGGGGATTTTTTGGGATTTTTTGGGGATTTTTTAGGGTCTTTTTAGGGATTTTTTTTTTTATTTTTTAGTGATTTTTTGGAGATTTTTTTGGGGTTTTTTAGGGATTTTGGGGGATTTTTGGGGGGATTTTTTTGGGATTTTTTAGGGATTTTGGGGGGATTTTTAGGGATTTTTTAGGGATTTTTTAGGGTTTTTTTTTTATTTTTAAGGAATTTTTAAGGGGGTTTTTAGGGATTTTTTGGGGGGTTTTTTGGGGATTTTGGGGGTTTTTTTTAGGGATTTTTTGATTTTTTTAGGGATTTTTTGGAAAGGTTTTTAAGGCTTTATTTTGGATTTTTGGGGTTTTTTATGGTTTTTTGTGGGGGGTTTGAAAGGAATTTTTTGGGGGGGAGGTTTGAGGATTTTTGGGGTATTTTGGATTTTTTTAAGGTTTTTTTGGGGGGGTTTAAAGGATTTTTTGGGAATTTTCAAAGGATTTTGGGGTTTTTTTCCCCCCCCCCAAAAAAAGCCCCTAAAAAGGGAATTTTTGGGGTTTTTTTTTTAATTTTTGGGGTTTTTGGGGGGATTTTTTGGGGTTTCTTGGGGATTTGGGGGAGATTTTAAGACTTTTATATTTTTGGGGGGTTTTATGGTTTATTTTGGGAATTTTCGAGGGGATTTTTAGGATTTTTGGGGGTTTTTTAAGGGATTTTGGGGTTTTTTTTTGTGTTATTTTTGGATCTTTTTGCACTTTTTAGGATTTTTTTTGGAGGTTTCTCTTACAGGGAATATCTTAAATCTGTAATTTTTATTTTTAAAAGATTTTTTTTTAAGGATTTGGGGATTTTTTTCCTTAAAAAAATTCCATTTTTTCCCCTTTTCCC